TAGGAGGGTTCTGGACCCCCAGAGCTCATCTGTGATACTCTCTGGTTCCACTGTTGCTAGCCCAAGCATCCCTGGTCTAGAAAGTGCTGAGCAATCCCACAAAGAGCAACCAACATCTCTTTTCCTAAATGATCTAATGACTGTCATCTTTCAATTTACGGAAAGAAAAGGATAGAATTTGATCAAGTTTTTTCTCAATTTTTTAAACCTCTAGCACCTGCTGCAGCTGGTGAGCGAGTGTGTTCTCACAGATGGCAAAGTCAATGAGCGAGTGGATAATGAATATGAACAGGAAAACTTGGAAATGTGATTTGATAAAATTATTTTGTGCATGTGGAAATTTTGAGGAATGAGAAGCCCTACATACATAGAAATCAACCATAGCATTCCAATAGTCTGGTCCTTAAAGGATGTGACCACTGCGTTCACTGCATCTGGGAGATGTGTGTAACACATTCTCTAGTTGCATTAAACCTCACCCATGCCCTGCTGGTGAATCACATTCACTTCTGATCAGGGCTTCAGTGGTTTTCTATTTAAGAAAAAGCTACACCCTGATAATGGCTATGAGTGATGCTCTGGGAAGGAACATTTAGATGTCTTGCCTTCTTGAAGCTATTCTGCACACCACACTCACTTGGCTAACTTACTGCTACTTGGGGGCCATTTGTCTTAAATGTAATTCAAACTTGCATGGCTTCTTTTCAAAAGGAATTGTATTCAACTTAAAATAGGCCTACTTCAAAGTGATTGGTGGTAAGGGAGGGGCTGGGGGTAGGGGGGAGAAATTACCCAAGCCTTGTATGCACATATGAATAATAAAAAAAAAAGTGATTGGTGAGCACCAACTCATATCCAGTTCAACCAGCCTTGCAGGAGGCATCAAGATACACTAGGAAGAAGGCTGAGATCTCTGCCTTGAGTGTTCCCACTATTTGCCCAGCACCTATACCAGACACTGGGGGGTAATATTTTGAGAAGACATGATCTTGTCTTCAAAGAGCTCAATCTGGTTGGGCAGAGGTAGGCAACAGGCAGAGAACTGGGACCTCAACCCAAGAAAAGCATTGGTACAGTCTCCCTCAGCTGCCAGAAGCCCCTGCCCCCCTTGCCTGTACCTGCCAAGTAGAGAAGAACAGCACCACAGCAAGCCAGTCATCTCCAGAGCATTTTCCTCACTCTTAGTGTTAAAAGGCAGCTTCATATCTTCACATCTGTTAATCCCAGATGGGGAGACTTGCTTGACTTGACAAAATTCACTTAATTCTATCCACTCTCCATATAAACCTCTGCCACTTTATCTAAACCATCCCATCTTCTCCCTTTCCTTCCCATACTCTCCTCTTCTTTCACACTTCTCAGCAAAGAGTAAGGACGACATGATACAGGCCTCCCAATGGAGCCTTGTCACCAGTGGGGCAGGCAGCACTTATATCCACCCAGCCCTCCCCAGATGGGCTGGAGCTTAGCTTGCCTCCCCGGCTTCCCCCAAGCTCAGGCAAAGCAGACAGGAACATTTCTTGAGCTCCCACTCTGTGCCAGGTACTGCGCTAAGCACTTCACTGTTCTACATCATACACTTGCTACAATATTGCAAGGTGGACTTCATTAGCTAGTCTGACCCATCCATTCTTGGAATGCTGAACTCCAAGAGATGATATGACTTTCCCCAAGGTCAGGCTGCTAAAATCAGGGAGAAAATCTCATTGCTTCAGCTCTGCCCAAACTGTGTTGAGCTCCCTCTGCTCCTAGATATGGCCAAGGGGGAGGTGGGTAGGACTTAGGTGAAGAACAGCAAGAGTGGTTCCCAAGAGGCAGTATCTCCCAAGAGGGGTCAGCAGGGACAGCATGCCCACCTGGAGGGATGTGTAGGCCTGATACATAGGTAGTTCTTAGTAATATCATTAAATGAACTATTGCCTAGTAAAAGGTATCAGGACCCATTCATTCACTGATTCTATAAACATTAGCTGAGTGCCTTACCATTCATTCACTCACACATAAATTGTGCCTTCAACAGGTCCATTCATTTTTTGAGTTCTATGTGCCTGCCCTTCTAGGTGCTAGGAACAGAGGGAACAAATTTCTTTCCCTCGTGGTGCTTACAATCAAAGTATAAGGAGACTGAGTTGAGATATATATATATAACTTTAGATGTGCATGAAATAGTTTCACACAGCAGTCCATGCTGTGGTGGTAGGATAGTGACAGGAAGGGCTGAGACACCTTCAGCTATGGTGGTCAGAGAGTCACTCTAAGGAGGTAAAATTGAGATAAGACCTGACAGAAGACAAAGGAAAGCTCTGAGAAAATGTCATTCTAGGAAGGCTCAAAGGGCCTGTAGTAGAAACAGTTTGTCGAATCCTAAGGACAGAGTTTATGAACTGTAGTCTAATGAGTGAGAGGAAGAATGGTGGGTGACAGAAAAGTACAAAGCAGCACGTGACTCTCAGGGAACTAACAGCCAGGACGCACACCAGCATGAGGAATAAATCAGTGACAACAGACCTCAAGCCAAAGAACTTGAACTTCAACCTGAAGGTGATAAAAGCCACTGGGTCAGGATGCAAGGCAAAAAAAAAAAATCATAACAGAGCTTTCTGAGGGAAGAGGGGGGATGGCAAGGAGCAGGGTTAGAGGCAGGGACACTCTTAGAGAGCCATTGCAATTGATTTAAAGCAGCTGTGTATGGGTAGAAGAAGGAACAGTTTCCAGAGTTATTAAGAAGGTAAAGTAAGCAGGGCTTAGTGACCAGTAAATCTGGAGGAAGAGAGAGATGTGGAAGCAGAGAGACACCAGGACATAGCCTGGTTACCCTATTCAACCTGAGCACTTCTCTTAGGCACTCTGATCAGGGCACTCCTCCATCTCTACCTGCTCCTGGTCAAACCCCAGCCATGCTTCCAGGGTCCTTTGCCCTGCCTTGAAAGCCATGTCTTTCCGGGTCCCAAGGCCATCATGGCAACCTAGAGTTTCCACATCTTTTTAACAACTTTCCCTTTGGTTCCAAGAGCCTCAGTTCACCTATTCTTAGGTGCCTTTCCCAGATGAGCTGAATGGGGCCCAGTGGAACAATCAAGCAATGCAGGCATGGAAGTCTGAAGTGTCATTAAAGCAGAGACTATAAATCTTTCAAAGAAGGATGGTCCTGGAACTCCAGCCATAACCACAACTCCTTAACAAAGTATAGAGACTAAGAGCACACCTGGAGTCATATTGGCTCTGGTACAAGTTTACCTTCTCTGAATCTGTTTCCTTATCCATAGAGTGGGGAGAATAATGGCACCCACATTATAGTTATTGTTCTAAGGCATAATTTAGATAACGTGTGGCACACAATGTTTAATATTAAACAGCCGTCTCTCTTGACCTATGATTTGAGGATCCATTAGTCATCCATGCCCCCTCTTGTAGCAAGATCTTTTGTCACTCTCATTTGTATGACAGCTCCCATGTTTTATCATCCCCTTGACCAGCAGTATGGGGAACCTGGCCTGCCTCACCAATTATGGATGCTCAGCCATCCCGCTGGGTTTACTAACCCAGTTGTATTCAGATACAGTAGGTCAGTTGTGTGGAAGGGAGTCATGAGTGACTTTGTAATCCTTCCTGGGAGTTACCAGCCATGTCTTTCCAGAAGAATCTACCATTTGAACTCAAGACACTGCCTTCTCACACGCACCACCCCATCACGTCAATTACTGCTCTTGCCGCCACATCCACTGTGATCCTAAGACACTGCTCGCCTTCCTCCTTTAGACACAGGTGTCCCAGGTGAAGTGATACTGAGCTCCTGGTCACTGGGGAACCACGTTGCCTTCCTCTGAGCTTCCCATGTACTGAGGAAGGCAGAAAACTGTACTAGCAACCCCCACCCCATCTCTAGCCACTTGCAGTGGTCAGCAGCCTGTGGGGGACTTGCCTACCCAGGGAATGACCTGCTGTTACTAACAGCAGCACTTGAACCTCCCACCTCGAGAGGGCACTGGAGAGCAGGGTTAGCGATGACACATGACCCTGGGGTCATCTGTAGTCACTGTGCACCACATGACGGCAGAATGTTAGCAGACAACAGAGGGAGGGACAAAGCCTGGTGGCCACTGTCTGCAACCAGACCCTAAAAGTCCCAAGGACCTTTCCGAACAAGAGGTACACAACCGAGCAAGGGTTGCCCAGTAAAATATAGGATGTTCCAGTTAAATCTGAATTTCAGACATACAAGAGTTTTGTGGGGGTTTTTTTAACTTTAAGTATCATCCATGCAATATTTGGGACGTACTTATGGTTCTCTTTGTTTATTGTGCATCAACATTCATATTACTCTGGGAGTTTCAGTTTTTATTTAAAAAAAATTTTTTTTGCTTCACTAAATCTGGCAACCTTCCCCCTCCCCTTTATTGTTGTGCTGGGTGGGGGTAAATTGCGGCATTTACAAAGGTTCTTACAATATATCAAGTATATCATACCTGAATTCACCCCCTCTACCTCTCTCCTTCATCCCCCCTCACCTGATTCCTGGAACAGTTTCAACAGGTATCATTTCTGCATTTACATACATGTGTACACATTTGCACCATATCCAAACTCTGCCACATATGGGCAAGGAAGGCATTACCACCATCTAGGTCACCAGGAATGGAGGCAAGCCTTGCATGGTAGGCTTTTTAGAGTCCACCTGATGCTCAGCCCAGGTGGACAAATGAGGTGAGGGAAAAATGAGAGGCTTTAGGGGGTGATGGAGTGGTTCAAGTGGTAGAGTGCCGGCCTAGCAAGCATGAGGCCATGAGTTCAAATCCGAGTATCACCAAGGGGGTGGGGGGAAGCCCTAGATAATGAGAGTCTTTGGCTCCCAACTTGGCACCTGCATACACACTGAGAGCTAGGACCACACTTATGTTAAACTATGCTTTATTAGTTGGCTTGTCTTTCCAAGCCTGGGTCAGGAATCATACCATATTTCCCAGCCTGCTGCACATGGCTAGGCCCATCCAGAGACAGTCCTAGAAGTCACAGCCATCTACCCAGTCATGGATGTCCTTGCCCTGGCAGTGATGTCTCCAGGCCTCCCTGAGGACAGACAACAGGAAAGAGGAGAGACCATATCAGCTACAGCCCTAGGCACCACGCAGAGAACTAGAAGGAGATGTGAGTTCTAAACTAGAGGGAGGGAAGGACTGGGTCTAATGAGGAAAATAGGGACAAATAAACTGAGGTAACAGGCAAACACTCCCCTAGAGGAAGTTTTTCTTTTAAAGAAAGAGAATGGCCCTAAATAATTCAATATTTAGCCTCCTTGTTTTACTACTGAAAATTACACAGATTGATATGCTATGATCACCCATAATTCATTGCCAACGGCCTAGAGTCCTGGAGTGTGGAACCCAGGCCAATGTTCTTTTCCAATAGCCTCATGCTTCTGCGGACAGCGATGCCACCTTACATGTGTACAGTCTTTCGCAGTTTACATAACATTACACTCATCACACATTAATGCCACCCCCTGCTTATCCCCAGCAGCCCTAGGTAAATTGGGCAGATATTACACTCCTTATTTTCCCTCATTACTCAAACTGTGATGTAAAATTACTTACTTGGGGCTCATGGCTAGTAAATGACAGAACTGTGCCCACTCCCAACCCTCCTTATCTGTCAATATGGGTCTTTTCATTGTTGGTTACTATAGTTTGTAGACTCTTTGGAGACATTGCCTGGTTCCAGCTCATAGCTGACATATTGAAAAAGATAAGTAAGACCACAGGTCCTGGGGTCCTAAGTTCTCAGAGATTCCAATCTCTGATAACTAATGTCCTCTACTATGTCAATGTCAGTTTTAAAAATTAAAATAAACATTCTTACACCCTTTTCTAAAGGACCCTTAAGACAATAGGCAAATCTTGGAGAAACCAAGTTCAACTGTGTGACTGCCACTGACTTCCTTATCCTGCTTGAAACTCAGTGTCACCTATGAATACTTGGATGGTGGCAATCCCCATGTTGTGACAGTTAGATCATGAAACCATGGAGTGGTGCCTGGGACAAAAGGTTAGCTCTTTGCTATGGTCCACCAGTCCTGACCACACCACCTGGGTCTCAGGTCTAGTCAAAGAACCCGACTTACTCACCAGGAACCCAGACCCTGGGGCTCTTGGGCTATCTTCATGGCACAGATAACCGTGTCCTTGAGATTAGAGTTCAACAAGTCTAGGGTAGGAGGAAGAGAAACAGGGGACAGAACTAGAGTCAATCTTTCTCTCTCTTTCTCTCTCTCTCTCTCTCTCTCTCTTTCTCTCTCTCTCTCTCTCACACACACACACTCTGCCATCTCTGAAAGCACAGACATTTCTCTATCCCTGTCCCCCTCTATCAGAACTAATCCTTCCTCCATAGGACCCCAATTCAAATTCATGGAGCACCCACCCTCACCACTTGCAATATATCTGTCTCCTCGGGGATCCTCACTCAGAGATAAAGGGGGATAACAGATTAAACTGGGAAGAAGTGAAGGTTTGTGTAGGGCCTGATCCCAGCCGACCTAAGGCCCAAGCCCAGCCTACCAGAGCAGTACATGCGGCATAAGTTAGGGGCGTTCTGGGCGAGGTTTTTGCACCACTTCCGGCTGCTGATCTGGAAGATGCCATTGTTAGTGCTACCATCAGCTTCATGGTCCACAGCAGCAGTGTTGAAGCCACTGGAGAAGTAAGCAAGGCAGATCCCTGTGTGGGGCAGACACAGGCCTGAAGTCAGATGGCTGGGCCACCACAAACCAGAGATCTCCCAGTGTAGGTCCCACACACTTCCTCCTCCAACCTCACCCACTTCAAGCTGGCCAAGACAGATGCCCTCCCACCTACTTTGCAGAGGGCAAAATGACTTCCCCAAGGTCACATGTAGCTACTACATAGCAGAGTTCAGGACCTGACCTCAGGCCTTGTGACTTTTAGGCTAACAGTCTTCTCACCTTCTCATTGTTCAGCATGTATGTATATATACGAGGGCCCAACACGTTTGTTGAATGAATTTACAAGAGCTAAATCTTGAAGCAAGATTAGGAAGACATAGGTGGGATTAAAAAGGAGGCTGGAAGTAGAGAAAAAATGAGTCCAGATGCAACTATACTTGACAGATGACTTCCCAAAAGTGCCACCAGCTTGAAAAGTTTGGTATTACTGATTTATTCAGTTTGCCTTGTATTTTTCAACAGGAATGTATGGTCCTCATGGCCATGATGAAGTGCAGTGTACTAAAACTCTTCTGTTCCTTTGACTCTTAGCTTGCCAACACAAGAAAAATGAAGGAGTACTTCCAATCTGGCTGCCTCTTGCCTGCCTACTATGTGTGTAATTCAAACTGAGTGTTCTTGACCTGTCATCTCATTTATTCCTGACTTTACAGATGATAGCTAAGCTCAAAAACTCCCAAGACCCTTAAAGGAGAAGGAATGAGGGACAAGGGGAGGGAGTGGAGGCAAGAGGGAGCTGGGGGCCAGAGAGAAAGAGAGAGGGGGGTGCGATTCTTACAGTCAGCCAGTCCATAGCCCCGGTAGCCATCTAGACCAAACTCCTTGAGAACTCTGGCCATCTCACAGCGACTGTAGACCTTGGCCTCACTGGGGACAAGCAGGCAGCTGAGCAGAGAAATGAAGGCCAGCAACAGGATCCCAAGTGGGCACAGCTGGCTTCTGAGTGGTGGGCTCCTGGCTTTCATGTAGGCGGCAGAAGCAGAGTCCTCCCTACTCTCACTTACAGCTGGTGGTCGGTCTGCTCACAGAGCTACTCCTTGGAAGAAGAAGGGACAGGGCCTGAGTGCATCCCTGGGAAAGTGGAGAAAGGTAGGCAGAAGACAAGGCTCCATCCCCAAGGAAGCACCAGTCATGCTCCCAAGACCCTGGAGAAAGTTCCCTGGGACCCAGCCCTCTCTGCTCCAGTTCTGCTGCACTCCATTCTGGCCCACCAGCTGAGAGGACAGGAAAGAAACAGAAAACTAACAGTTTGAGCTCCATACTACATAGTAGTATTGGCATTATTTTGTCCTGAGACCCAATATTTGACAACCAGGAAGAGGCAAAATTTGAACTGAGAGCAAAGTTGATGTGAATCCAAAGTCCAGTGGGGTATGGCACTGAGCAGATGTTCCAGAAGGGATGGGCTGAGCAGTGTGACTAGCATAAATCAATCCCTAAGGCCCAATTGCCAAAGGACTCCCTTCCATCACTGACCCTCCATCTGCTGGCTTTAACTGAATCCTGGAGCTCTCTCACATGGTAGACACTTCCATCTGGGAAGTCTCGTTTATCCCTACCACCCCTTCTAAACCATTTCCTTGCAGAAACCTCTTCTTCCTGGATGCTCACCCATCTTGTTTGCTTTGCCCTCCTTGCCTCTTATCCTTGGCTTTGTGGGCTGGTCCTCAATATAATGAGACATTAGTTCCTGCTGACCTTATCCTCAGGCATCCTTCATCTCCTCAAGCCTTCTGACCTTCACCCTCCACTGTGTCCCAGCCATCCACTCCATGGCCTTGTCATCCTGCATCTTGCCATCACCTGCCACTTCCCCACCTCTGCAACCTTCTCCTCTCTCTCTCTCTCTCTCCCCATGATGCATCTTCCCATGTCTCTCACAACCTCTTCCCATCACACCTGCTCTCCACCTTCAAAGGCAAAACATGAACAGTTGTAACAACATCAAAAACGAATGTCCCTGCTCTCTAACTCCCCTCAAATGTCACTAAGGATGACAAGGTGGTTAAGATTATGGCTTTGCAACAAGGCTTGAGTTTGAAGCCCACCTCTGCTACTTACTACCCCTTGGACTTTGGACATTCTTTGAGCCTCATTTTCTCCATCTAAAGGAGGAGGAAATTAATAGCACCTGCCTAAGAGTGTTGAAAGGATAAATGAGAAAAAGCTTGGAAAGATCTTGGCTCTTCATACTAAAAATAGAGCCACAATTATTTCTGTTGTGAACCATGACTAGCACCAGTATTAATGCTTGTCTTTAGCCAGCTTTCTCTCTCCCCTCTCCCTCAAAGGGAGTTCAAAACCCTCAATTACTATCATTAAATACCTCCTCCACTATGTCCCCCCCTTCACCCCCAGATAACCTCACCTCCTGCTGCATTGAGAAAAGCAAGGTGACCACAGGTGACCACATGTCGAATTTCCTTCCTCTTCCTGCTTTATCCCCATCCCACTTAAAAACTCATGTGGAAACAATGGGATTGGACTTTGAGCACATGATAAAGCGAGAGCACACAAGGAAGGGGTGAGGATAGGTAAGACACCTAAAAAACTAGCTAGCATTTGTTGCCCTTATGCAGAGAAACTAAAGCAGATACCTTAAAGCAACTGAGGCCAATAGGAAAAGGAGACCAAGAACTAGAGAAAAGGTGAGATCAAAAAGAATTAACCTAGAAGGTAACACCCACGCACAGGAAATCAATGTGAGTCAACTCCCTGTATAGCTATCCTTATCTCAACCAGCAAAAACCCTTGTTCCTTCCTATTATTGCTTATACTCTCTCTACAACAAAATTAGAGATAAGGGCAAAATAGTTTCTGCTGGGTATTGAGGTGGGGGGGAGAGGGAGGGGGCATAGTGGGTGGTAAGGGAGGGGTGGGGGCAGGGGGGAGAAATGACCCAAGTCTTGTGTGCACATATGAATAATAAAATTAAAAAAATAAAAAAAATAAAAAACTCATGTGGAGTCTCCTGCACCCTCATCACCAGACTGTTAGGGGCAAGGATGAGGTACATGGGTAACAGGCTGTTGCCATCAGTGATTCCATCTTGCTTTATTCCTGATCCCTTTTTCCTTCCCAGGATATGGACTTCATTCTGTGTTCTAGAGCGTCTTGCCCTCAAGAGAATGGGTTGTCACTGGGCATAGTGGTGCATGCCTGTAATCCCAGATACTTGGTAAATGGAGGAAGAAGGATCATGGCCTGAGGCTGGCACAGGCAAAAGCACAAGACTCCATTTGAAAAAATAACCTAAAGAAAAAAGGGCTAAGGGAGTGGTTGAAGTGGGAGAGTACTTGTCTAGCAAGTGCAGGGCCTGAATTCAAACCCCAGGACTGCCAAAGGAAAAAACAAACAAACAAAAAAGAATAAACTGTCACTAGGAAATGATCACCTCTGGTCAGTGTCAAAATACTGACCTGGCTCCTGGGAAACTGATTAGCACCTCACCTAATCCTCATATGAATATTTTGGCTTTCCCAAAGACTGGGAAGTGGTTCTGGTGATGTCAGTCTACCTCCTTCAGATTGCTAGCAACCTGGATATAGCTTACTTTCTCTTTCCTGACACTGGTCTCTCAGGCATTAGCAGTCCATGTGACAGGCTTCCAAACCTGAGTTCAGTAACACATCTACCAATCTCTTGGCCCATCTTTCCTGAGCTCTAGATTTTACCCCTTCCTGTTGCTAAGCCTTGTTCCATCGGTCAATCCTTCTCTCCTAGCATCTGCAGGATCTCTCCCCTACCTGCTCCTCCTTGTTCTGCATGTGTAGACATGCTTAGGCTCCAACTTCCAAGTGCCTTCTTTTGGTTCTTAGCCTTATCTGTACTGACCTGTCTCTTTCTCACTCTTCCCATCCAAATTTCTGGGGGGGAAATTGCCACTTTCTCATCTCCCCTTTGTTTTTCAACCCAGTGCCATTTGGCTTCCCCACTACCACCACTTGCCTGAGATTTCTCTGCTCTGTCTGGTGGAATGGTCACTTGCTGACCATTCCCCTGTTAAAACACCTGCCTCTTGTTCCCCTACTGCTCCCTCCTCCCTCTCTGACTATTTCTTCTCCCTCTCCTTTGTGGAATTCACTTCTGCCCAGCTCTTAAATGTTGAAATGCTTTCTAGACTTTCTACCTGGAGCCTTCTTCTCTTTCCCTCCAGGAGGCTCCCTACTGTTAGCACCACCTGCAGGGTCATAGCTTTTTACTGTATCTTCCTTGAGACCTCAGGGGCAACTGACTCCTGGCCACCTCCATAGATATCCTACAGTCATAGTTCTGTCTAAAACAGAACTAATGTTCCAACCAAAATCTGCTGTACCTTAGGTCTTTGCTTCCTTGGTTTAAAACACTATGGGCCACCCACATACCCAAATTAGAAATATGGATACCATTCTTTACTCCTCCTTCTCCATCACTACATTGTTCCCCATCCCCAGTCAACCAATCCCAAGATTCTGCTGACTCTACTTTCCCTCCAAGAGTGCCATCTTTCCTAAGTTCAAACCACCATCCTGGCTTCTCTTATGGTCTTCTTGCATCCAGTCTTGACCCCTCTTCCAAACTCTCCTATATTTATGAACCAGAATGAATCTCTTAAATACAAAGCCTAGCTATGTGATGCTCTTCAATAGCTCCCACCAGTGTGCTCCAAAACATGGTCTATAAGGTCCTGTCCCCTACTCACACTTTTAGTTCCAGTAATGCCACATTGTTCACTCAGGAAGACTCTGTTGTCGAGAACTTTAGCACTCTCCTCATCTCTACACACTTAGGTCTTACTCATGCTTCAAGGGTCATGTTAGGGAGGAGTTCCCCAGAGGGCAGGCCACAGCCCCCAACACTCCCATGGCACCTAAACCTTCTACCCTCCCTCTGTCCCACTGTGTTGTAATATACATCAGCCTTCCCACCACAAGGCAAACTTTCAAAGAACAGTGGCCTGGTCTTACTTATCTTCATATCCTAAGAACCAAATAGAGTTGCTGGTAAATGAATGCTTCCTAAACTCAAGCATACTGAAGTCATGCCCACAAGAGCGTGAGCCCATCTCATCAAAGCGCGGGGAACGAGTGAAAGGAAGGCAATTACCCTTGCTGAGTTCTTCAAATCTGTCAGACACTGAGCCAGGCCGTCTTTGGATGTTTTCTAACTTAATCTTAGCTAATCCTCTTAACAATTCAAAGGGTAAAGGATTAATACACTCAATTTATAGATGGGGAAACCAAGTTCACGACTACATAGTGAGTGTTTTTGATTTTATAGTGTTTTATAGTAAAGTGACTTGAAGGCAAGTCCATCCTGAGCATTTCAAAGCAGGTCCAGAGGTTTAGGGCATGGAATCTGGTGACTCAAAGACCAAAGACCTGCCAGCAAAGCAATTGAGTTCTTCCTCTCCTCTCCTCTCCTCTCCTCTCTTCTCCACTCCTCTCCTCTCCTCTCCTCTCCTCTCCACTCCTCTCCTCTCCCCTCTCCTCCCCTCCCCTTCCCTCCCCTTCTCTCTTCTCTTCTCCTCTCCTCTCTTCCCCTCTCCTCTCTCTTTCTCTCACCCCCCACCCGATCTGTCACTGTCCCAGGCTTCCCCCCACCATCCCTGACCACCACCTTGCTTTTTCCATGCCCCTCTGGTTAACAGCTCCCAGAAGCAGGGAAAGGGGGCTCACCGATCAGGTGTCTTCCCCACCAGAGCTAAAATGGTGGTGACAATGACAGCAGCGACTGCAACTCAAAACCCTGATTCAGCTCAGGATACCCTTGCAATATTGCTGGGGCCCCAGTCTTCTAGAACTCTCCAGGTTTGTGAGCTCATCTTCTAGAACCTGCTCTTCCCACTGAACTTTGACTCAGCCCCTCGATTTGGGGGTCTTGGGGCATGTTAGGGGATTTAATCCCAACCTTTCTTGGCCACTTCTGCTTGCATTCCTGCAAGTACACACACACGCGCACACACACACATGGTGGGTACTTGGAGGGATGATTCAGCAACCCCAACAGATTCTTGAGG